ACACACACACACACACACACACACACACACACACACACACAGTGGGCTAGTTTGCAGGCCGTCTTTGAGTGTGGTCGAGCTGCACTGCAACAGTCCTCAGCACAGCGTGCTCACACTGGTTTGCTCACACTGGTTTGCTCACACTGGTTTGCTCACACTGGTTTGCTCACATTATGAAGAGTTTAATGGGATTGAAGCTGTGATGGAGAGGATCGTTCCACTGACGTGATTAATGCTGCAGCGTGACCTCATTAAGCGTTTTCATGTCTTTCTTGGGCTTTAGATGCTTTTATTTTGTATTTGTCGACTTATTGCTGTGAGACTTTGTGTAGTAACTAATGTCGTGTTTGATGGCAGCGTCGGAGGTGTGGACGCCCTGAAGATCGAGGAGATGGAGAAGATGCTGAAGGAGGCGCAGCTGGAGAAAGCCAGACTTATCGAATCGCGGGTAAGCGTCGCAAGTGCTGCAGCGTTAGCTGATTATCCCGAATCCATACTCGCTGAGCGATGAGTTCTCGCAGCGCCCCCGTCGATAACGCTGAATTGAACTCGCATTTTTAAAAAAATCAAAAGTTCCTGACAGCAGCGCAGAGCTGCTAATTATTTTATTGGACTTTGCACATTTTGTTTTTGTGCCTCGATGAAGCACCTCAGATGATCCCATCCATTATCTTCTGCTCTCACCGAGTCTGACTGCGAGCCCCATCCAATTAGGAAATCTCACACAGAGCAAAACAGTGAGCGCCTTTGTTTCTCACCCTCCAAACGGCTTCCACGCAGTCGTAGTACTGCAGTGTTTGCGTCGATGCATTGTGTGTGTCTGCCGATCATTACGCCTCCAAATATCAGAGTTTTGTGTTTAAAGAATGGAAGCTGCGCGGTGGTCAGCAGCTCCGGGTTGTGGGCAGCTCCCAGCAGGACACCCTGTACATAAATGTATGAAGAGCGAACATGTGCGCTCTGCCAAACCCTTCCACAGATCAAAAAAAATATTTAATGAAAGCGCTGTCCGCTAGGAACGGGAGAGCCTGGCTCGCCGGCAGATGCTCGAGGAGGAGAGGCGGAGGAGGGAGGAGGCCGAGAAGAGGCTGCAGGATGAAACTTTCCACCGGCAGCAGCTGGTGGAGAAGGAAGTCAAGATGAGGGCCAAGAACTTCTCTCAGGTCAGTGAAAGCAGATGTAATCGAGTCCGTGTGGCGGAAACGTGCAAAGTGACTCGACGGGCGGGTGTGGCGGCGCCACGGACGGCTGGCGGCACATAAATATGGCCGTGCTCGTAACCACCCCACGTGCATTTATGATGTAAACCCTGTGTGGCCATAAACACTGTCCATCGACATGCAACGCAAACGTGAACGCGTGCTCCAACATTTAAAGCTTGTTCTTTACCGCCGTGTGCCAACAGCTCGCCAACAGTTGAATCCATGTTAACACAAAATGCTAGAAGTCTGTAAGGACGTGAAAGGTCTCCACAGGTGAGCCTGTGAAAGCACCAGGTTCAGCTTCATGGTCGGAAACATCTGGGTCAGGGTGACCTGCTGATGTTTCCCACTGTGACGGAGCAGCCTTTGCTTTTAAATGTCGTTTTTCATAATGTGTCAGAATAATGGTTGAAGGATCGTGGAGCGCACACGAGTGACCAAACAGGGTTAAGTCCTTTATTCAACATCTGTCCTGCGTGAGCAGCAGCTGGTCTTTGTGGCACAGAGACCAGCTGCAGCCAGGCAAAGAGTGCACGATGAGTAACCTTCTGCATTTTCATAGACATTAAAACATGTGGCATAAACCTGACTTTGAAAATGAAGCGTGTGATTTATGCCTGATGTGGGCGCCTCGTTATCAGGCCGTCCACAGACAGGTGGAGGAGGTTAAGAAGGTTGTTGATCAGACTGTGACTGGCAGCTTGGTGCGGAGACGTTTCTGTCTTACTGTGTTTTTATGTGTTCATGTCTGCATCCTCAGACCTGCAGCAGGTTCTGCGTCTGCATCGTCCATATCAGTGACTCCTCTGCCCGTGTCTGTCCACGCAGGCCCGTCCTATGACTCGCTACCTGCCCATCAGGAAGGAGGAGTTTGATCTGCGCTCGCACATCGAGTCGTCGGGTCACAGCGTGGAGACGTGCTATCACGTCATCCTCACCGAGAAGATGTGCAAGGGCTACCTGGTGAAGATGGGAGGCAAGATCAAGTCGTGGAAGAAACGCTGGTTCGTGTTCGACCGCCTCAAAAGGACGTTCTCCTACTATGTTGGTAAGAGCCGAGGTGTCCGCGTCTGCTGTGTTAGCGTGGCGCTCTGTCTGTCCCAGTTTAACACCTGACAAAGTCAAATGAACAGAAGAAGGGGGCCTCTGCAGCAGCGGTCCCCAACCTGTTTTACATCAGTCGGTTTGTGTCTGACAGTATTTTCATGCACCGGCCTTTAAAGCGTCGCAGATAAATACAACAGAATAAAACCAAAAAAAGAAGATTTCTTTATGACACACGGGAAAAGACCCAGAGAAACCATACACTTCACACCTGAGGCTCAACCTAACGTGGCCCCGACCCTGAGAGCACACCTGCCTGTTTCCCTAAAGAGCGCTCTGTAGGGAAACAAACCCCTGATGTGTCTGGGTTCTTCAGTGTTAGTGCTCTGAAGCTTTCATCACTCAGTCCGAGGGGATGGATGTTTGTGTCCTCAGTGATGCTGAAAGCACAAACCTAACACGGTGACAAAATAACCTCCGCCTGCGTTTCACTCTCAGCTCTTCTCATTTGCTCTTCTGGATGATTTTCATGTTCAGTCACCAGTGGATGATGTGGAAAGCAGAGCGAAGCAGCAACGCTGTGCTGCGGACGAGTGAGAGCAGAGCATGCGTCCTCCAGGCTTGGAGCAGATCTGCGTGCACCTTGCAGGCTGGTGTCATTTGAGCGGCGAGCTCGGGGACGCTCGCTGACGGCCTTTGAAGTGCTCAGAAGGTTCCGCTTAAAGCTGCTTAAAGCGTACCTTGTTGAAAGCGAGCCAGGGCGAGGAGGTGTACGGAGATTACTTTGGCAGTAGTTAAAATGCACTCGGCGCCACGCTCTGAGGAGCTGATTGAGATGCACCTCTCGCCCTCTTCTCTTGACCTTGAACAGCATTTAACTAGAGGTGACGTGCAGAAGTCACAAGCGACGCTAATTTGCATTAACCAGCCTCCACCAGCAGCAGCGGGTCGTTGGCTAGTTTAGATGCAGCCTGATGAGATGCAAATGCAGGGCTGTTTGAATGCTAAAGAGGTCGTTAGCAGATAATAGCAGCAAAGCGCCGTTCCTCGAAATGAAGCGCGGCGTCTCTACCTACTACTCTTTAAGTTGGCTCATGGAGTGTTTGTGCCTGGAGGTAGAGAGGGGCTGTTGAGTTCCCCACCGGTTCCTGACTGCAGTTCTGCAGTGGCTGATGAAACAAACTGCAACCATGTACCAGAGTAGCGTAAGAATGCAGTCAAGTGTGAAAATACAATGAGAGCACCACTGGCTTAAAAACAGAGGTGGGGGGGGCACCGTGCTTGTCCTTTTCCATCCATCACTCTAATTGTACTCTGGTCAAAGTTTGATCCCTTTCAGCGTGCCGTGGGTCTTCCCTGTCCTCCGTGCCAGCCTGGGAAAGTGCAAACGTTTGAGTTTCTGACCAAAGCCTCATTTCTGTCCTGCAGACAAACACGAGACCAAGCTGAAGGGAGTGATCTACTTCCAGGCCATAGAGGAGGTTTACTACGATCACCTGCGCAGCGCCACAAAGGTACAAATCTTTAAGTCTCATCCTTCTTTCCTTCACGTCTCCTCCTCCTGTCACACTGAACATAAGCAGCATGTGCATCCTCGCTTTGTGCCCGCCTGACCTCGGCCGCCGTGTGCGCCGGGGGATGTAGTTCTATTGTGCTGACACCCTCAGTGACAGAGTCGCACCCTAACTAATCCCTCCCTGTGTCTGTCCCAGTGATCCCAGTACAGACCAGTGGAGTGTTTCGAGCGCTTCCTCATTCATATGCTTCACAGAATACATCCAGGCTGTATTTATTAAGAAGTGCTGCCTGTGAGTGTCTGATTCCTCTGTTCACAAACGCCTGACGCAGCCGTAGGTGTCTCTCCGCTCATGTTTCTTGCTGCTCGTCTTGAGCCTCCACATCTTGTCACTTTATTTATCTGCGACATAAAGCCGAGCTGCTGTGTTTGACAGGCTGTCGCAGTACACCACGCTCTGACTGCGGGGCTCTGATCGACTCTGGAACTTTGATTCGTTACAGAGGGAAACTTTAGTCTGCTGCTCTTAGCAGCGGCACAAAGAGCTGATGTTACCATGTCAGAAGGAGAACGTGGGTCTGTTTTGATTAACAGCAATTTATTAGTATTTTAATAGTAAACTAACAGCATACTTCATGTGTTTCTCTTACCCTGCATTATCTTTAGTGTCAGTGTGGAACCAAAGGTGCCTGAAGTGTGTGGAGACATTTCATCTGACATGGATGTGTTAGCTGATCCATTGGCCCATCTGTCAGTATCTGCATTTATTTTGTTCCACGGGGGAAAGTAGAGACGGGGAAATGTTATGAGTGTTGGTGTTGCCTAGTTTGTCCACCAGAGGGCACTCGGTGTTCCAACTGGGAAGTTACAAAAATCACCAAATTGGCCAAGCCGAGCAGCCGGGCAGGAACGAGTGGATTTTAAATAGCTATACGTAGCAGCTGTTTGAAAACACTGGATTGTTGGTGTGGAGCTGATGTTAGACGGCTCTAAGGCTGGCAAACAGTTTTTTTGCCCGTGTAGCATCACAGCCTCGGCCCACAGTCCGAGTGCCTCAACATAATGAGTGTTTCATTTAAGCTGTGCAACTGCAAGCTGCTCTGCAACCCACCTCCACCATGCTGCTCCACCTGCTCGGCTCGGTCCTGCGGGTCTTCTTCCCAGCTCCTAGGAGAGGCTTTTTGGCTACACAGAGCGAGGGATTCTGGCAGCTCAGTCAACGGACAGGCACTCGTTTGGTGTTTAAAAGAAAAAGAGAGCCTACAGCGCGTAACCCAACAGCTGCTGGTTCTGAAGCTCGTACAGGAAATGAGCTCAGCACCAGAGCGAGACACGTGGGTCGAGCTGCACTGCACAGTAGCTGATCGTCGGTGATGGCTCGTGGCAGAGAAACCCCAACAATCAGACGAGCAGCACGCACTCTGTGACAGTGGGAAGCAAGAGCTTCCCTTTAACAGGAAGAAAACCAGCAAAACCAGGTTGGGGTGAGGGGAGCCATCATGCTCCCGCCTCCTGTGTCCTGGTCTGCACTTGTCTGTACCAAATTCTGTTCCCTGTCTGTACCCTCAGCATCCGTCCACCTGAGGGTCGTGCTGCGTTTAAATAGCTTTGTTCTGTGTTTGGCGTCTTCTTTTGAGGCAGAAATGAGGTACAAATCCAGTCCAATAAAAACATACAGTGATGTTGCATAAACCTGAATCGGTCGTTGGACCTTACAGAAGAGACCTGAAGGAGCCTTGAGAGCAGCGGTGACTCGCTGCATGCTGATGGTTAGCTCTTTGTTAACTGGACATTTCCCGTCTCTCTTGTTTTTTGTCCCGGTGTCCTCCAGAGCCCCAACCCCTCGCTGACCTTCTGCGTCAAGACCCACGACCGCCTCTATTACGTGGTGGCCCCCTCGGCCGAGGCCATGAGGATCTGGATGGACGTGATCGTCACGGGAGCGGAGGGGTACACGCAGTTCCTGAACTAAGAAGAGCGCTGGGACAAGCCGGCGGCTTTGGCGGGGACGCTCCCATCACAGACTCTTCCTGTTTCCTGTCCTCCGACGGCTCGCCTTCCTGTTTTACTTTTGAATCTAACATCTTTGATTTGACCGTGTACTTGTTTCCACCTCCACTCTATGTGATTCTGTCTGGATTTAAAAAGGGAGGAAACGTGCGCACGCACACACACGCACACACACGCACACACACGCACACACGTCTGTATATAAACCAAATGTAAACCTGTCAAAGACTTTATTACAAAGCCTTTCTATATTGCCAAATGGAGATCTTATAGTTAACTGTTTGTTGAACTTTTGTATTTTTTGTTCCTTTATTTCTTTTTTACTTGTAGAGAAAATTGCCAAATCACACGATGCCAATGTGTTTTCCTTTCATGACTTTGTTAGACAGGAATAGTTCAATCGAATCCTGTAATCATTTTTAGAAATATTTGAAAAAAAATCTCATTTCCAATGTGTAACCTGAGAAATACTGTAACCCCTGAGTGAGCCGGAGCTGGAGAGGACGTTTGTAACGGCGAAACACAGAGGAGCGCGTTTCAGCTTCACACTGAAGACAATGAGCCAATCACACTAAGCCAATCAGCATCCACAGCTACACCCACGGCTCCACCCTGTTCCTATCTCCACACACAGGCTTACCAAAGTAACTGGAAGTGACGTTAGACTTTGAGCCGCTCACGAGTTCACTCTGCAGTTCTCACAGCAGTTTGCCCCGTGGAGGGTTGGGAAGGTGTCAGTATTCAAGTTGCTTGTTGACCAGGCTTTGTGCAGGATTTGGTGCATTTCAGTTAATGTAGTACAATACACAGTACTGTGTATCAAAGCTAGCAAGAGCTGGTGAGAGACTAAAACATGTAGCTAATGCCACAACAGCGTTAGCTTAGCGTGAAGACTGGAAGCCCTGAGAAATGTTAGCCTGGCTATGTGTGTAAAAACCAGTCGTGGTTTTAGTACATCTCATTGGCTGTCCCACTCAGTCTTCATAGTAAACTGGTCATTTCCTTTGCTTTATCTTCTTGGTTCTCGGTGTTTTGTATTTAGCTGAAGCTAGCTAACTTTCTTAGCAAGCTAAAAAAGAGACAAGCTGCTAGCTTAAAAGTCTCGCTTTCTAGCTAGCTCTGTCCCTTTGCTTCCAGTCTTTTTGCTAGTCTGAGCTAACCCTAACCCTCTTAAAGAGGACCCGGCCTTCTGTATCTTCATGTTCATGTACACAGTTACATCTTGTATACATTCAGTCATTATTTCAATCAGTTTTGCGGCGTCATAACAAACTGATCGACTTGAAGCCCGAGCAGTACAGGCGTTACATAAACACGGGATGCTGCCCCGTGGTAGGCTTCCTGACGTTCTGCAATCAATGGTAGTGGGCTTTCAGGGAGGGGAGGGGGTCTCGAGAGACGGATGCTGAAACCGAGGGTGAACCGAGGGGCTCTAAAGTTGCCCAACTGAAGATGAACTGAAAGCAGAGAGAGATGGGTCCTCTTTAAGAAAGCGTTCATAATCCAGACGCTCATCGGTCCTTTGACAGCTTTGAAACTGGACTTTCCCTGAAAGTTTTCCATGTGCTGTTGTAAGCCAGGGGCAACAAGCCTCATCATCAGCTATCCACAGTCTCTACTTTCCTAAATTATTAATTGCGTAATGCAGAAGCGGTCAGTCCATCACATTCACTGGGGGACCTCGAGTCTCAGAGATTGACCGCTACACTGGTCTCACCAAAGCTGCCACGTTCTCAGTGCACTTGTTGAATATGTTGAACAGGAATCTCACTGTGTCTGTATCAAGCTGTCATTTTACCAACTCTAGGTGCAAACTGCATCTCTTTGTGTGCACAAAGTGGTAAATCTTCTGTTTGCCAAGTAGCCTTTAGCTAACCTGATATGACTGCTGGGAAGCAGCCATCACCACTGCCAGCCTAAGCAACAGCTACCAGATGGCACCAACACAGGACCACACAACACTATGGACTGATGCAATTCAGAACTGTGCCTTGACTATGTTATTGTTGTTATTGTTGTCGATGCCGTGTCTGTGAGTAGAGCACAGCCTCTCCAGTTATATGAATGCATTGACTTTGTTTCTGAGCTTCACCACGGGGGTGTGGCACCACCCTGAGCGGTGGGGATCAGCTACCACACTATTGGAACAAGTGTTTTATTTTTCTTTCAACCAGTTTAATTCAATATTTATTTCGACGTAGCATCAATTAAGTCATCTGTTCCAAAGTGGAGTGAGAATCCCAACAATCCCAGCGTTTGGTGACTGCAGGGAGGAAGAACTCCCTTTTAACAGGAAGAGGACTTCAGTAGATCCAGGATCAGGGAGCGGCACAGAGAGACTTGATAACAATAAAAAGAATGAAAGCAGCTGTATGCAGATTTAAGGTGGAATTCACCAGTTTAATTAAAAAAATCAAGTGAGTTGCTGTACTGAAGTACAAGTTAGAAGTATTTACACTCCACTGCATTCTCTCATGTTACACTCCAGAAGCTACACGTCGTGGCCTCCGGCTCATTTATGTAGCTCGTTTGTTTTCATTTGAAATCGGCACAGTTCCATTTTTATGGAATGATTCTTCTACACAACCCTACAAAGGGTCATAACGAGTACAGCTTTTTACACTGCAGTACCGCTGCTTTCAATATTTAGTTGTTTGAAGGCGTTGTTTGATTTTGTTGTCCATGCTGACAGACGGCTCTTCTTTCATTACGTACTCATTTCCCCTGTGATGGAGCGATGGGCTGATTCCTTGGTTCCATTATGAACATCTGTCTTAAAACTAAAACCTGCTCCAGGATGGATAAATCGATCTTGCACCTTCGGCTTTGATGGAGCGCCTCGTGTGGCTCATCTCACCGTGGTCGGTTTGGGATCAGCAGGTTTCCAGTGCTACTTTGATTTGTAGGAGCATGCGGAGCTGGTTTCATGTGTCGGTATAGTGATGATTACTTATAGTTGTGGTGCCTGAGACAGTGATATGTTTACTTATTATAAGACTAGTGAAAAGACCTTAATATACTCTGTCCCTACCACCCACTTGCCTTTTATTTCCCTGCACAGCGAGGACGTGCAAACCAAACTATTCAACACTGGCGAGGCTGTTAAATGCTGTCTGTGGAGAGCAGGAGGTGCACGCATCACTGTCATTCTGTGAAGACGATGCCTGAATGAAAACATGGAAATCAAACAGTATTGTATGGAAAGAAGTACAATTTTTACTTGTATCATTTTAGAAGTTTTATTGTCAGTTACATTTCAGATGGTATGGTAGAGATGTATCAGCGAGTAATCCACCTCACACTCACTAGACTCTAGTGTTCTTCATAAAGTGGTTCCTGTCACACACACACTCTTAGTACTCGGACCATGCTGTTATTGGTACCCTGTATGTCTCGTGTCATTTTCATGTATGGATTGTGTCAGCTCTATTAAACGACTATCACAGATTGGCTGCTTCCTCCACTTCAGCAGGTTCCAGTGTTGAGAGAGACAGACCAGTAACTGCTGTACGGACGCTAACGCTGACTGATTACGGGCTTGTTACACAGCCATCATAATGACAGCTCTAACACTGAGAAAAAACTAAAAATACATGAAATAGAGTCACTCTTAATACACGGCTAAAAAGTTGCTTTTTGTGTATTTTAATGGAAGCAAGGGGAAAAAAACAACAGTTTGACAGTGAACCTTCCAACTGTCCCAGCATAGGTTTGCAGGAAACCACTTCTACAGCTCATTGATGGTGTCACCTGCAGAGAAAACACAGTTATTTACATGGAAACCAGCCACAAACATTTCCACTCACTTTGTATTCAAATGAAGTGTGTGGATCGTTTCTTCATGGCCACATGAACACTGATCCAGTGCTGGCTTTTATACATTCATATTTGTTCTACAGCCCTCAGATTTACAGACTGTACACTGAAGATGGAAGACAGACTATGATATCCATGGTTTACAGAGAGAGAGCAGATAGAGCTGCAAACACATTATCTGCCAGTATCTGTTGAGTAACTAAGTAATAATAAAATACAGCAGGACCTATTTGTCAGTTAATCTTATTAAACATACTTGATGGTGCTGATGTGGCTGTAGTTGAGTGAATTTAATGAGTCATGGTCCAGCACACAGTGCTGTATTTTTAGATTGAAGTTTTGTGTGGCAGAGCAGATCAGCCACTAACCAGAAGGTCGGTGGTTCGATCCCAGACTGGTCCAGTCTGCATGCCAAATATCCGTGGGAAGATACTAACCCATCCCAGTGTGAATGTGTATGAATGTTGGACAGGGAGCACCTTAAGAGCTTAGAAGTGCTCGTGTGATTGGGTGAATGAGTTAGTTGTATAGAGCGCTTTGAGTGCTCAGAGTAGAAAAGTGCTAAATAAGAACCAGTCCATTTACATTTACTGGGCTAACATCATACACCTGTCCATCAAAGCAGCCACACCCCTAATTGTTAAACCTCAGTGAAAGTTCAGCCCACACACAGCTGACAAGACGCGATAAACCAGACACTGTTCTTGTACCAGCTCACGTCATCTGACGCTGTGTAAATAAACAGACATGCAGTTTTTGGCACATTGCTCATATTTCTCTGGCTGTGAGCACAAAAGCCCCACTTACCTGGCATTAAACCTATTTACAGCCAATCACAAGAAAGCTGAGAGGAAACCTGACGGGGAGAACTGGGAGCTGAACAAAGGCCCAGTAAGATAAATTAGGATTATTTTGAACTGAAAATTATGCAAAGCTACTCTAATAGGGCCAACAAATAGAAATATTAAACTGAAAATGAGCCAAATAGGTCGACCTAAAATGGAAAAGAGCAAGGAAAAATCAATCAATATCTGTATGAGCTCCATCAGCAGCTTCAGTTCTGCTGAAGTTGAATGTGATGCCATTAATCTACTCGTGATCAACCCCCCCATCCGATTGGTGCCCCTCCCTGAGCCTGCCTCTGCTGGAGGTTACTTCCTGTTAAAAGGGAGTTTTTCCTTCCCACTGTTGCCAAGTGTTTGGTCAGAGGGATGTAACACGATTGTTGGGATTTGTTTCTCTGTATTATTGTACTACTACTGCTTTGATTTGGCGCTTTGTAAATAAAACTGAACTGAGTCTGTGCGTCAGTCCTGCACAAAACACTGAAGCATGAAAAGACGCAGTGAATGAAGGTGTTACATACTCTCTGCACAGGAGGACGTGTAGTCGGTGACCGCCTCATCACCTGAAATGAGAGCAAAAACATTTCAGCACCGAACAGAACGACGGCAACTCCAAAGAAGCGTCTGCACGAGTTTCGGTTCTTACTCGTCTGGTAGTAATCGTAGACTTTAACCACAGCTGGTTTCAGGTTCCTGACAGGCTGATCCTCTTCGAGTGTCACACTGTAGATCTGCATGTCATCCTTCCTCAGCTGCAGACAACATTCACAGCCGCTGTCATGTCTCATGTTCCTTACAGCAAACCAAAGACTTTCCACAAAAGTTAAAACTGAAACCCTTGAACTAATCATGATAATTAGGACTCAGTGGCTAAAATGATTTTGGTAATAATGATGTTAGAAATGTAGAGACGGCTGAAAGACCTGCGTAGGTTTCGTTTTTCTCTACCTACTGATGACATCGGCTGACTGCGTCCTGAACTCAGAGGTCACAGTACGGCGTGCTGGGCATCACGTCAAAATACAACCAGCTCCTGCTTATGAGCACCATTTCACCAGCGTGTCACACACACTGTTACGCAGCACTTTGTCTTGTGATTGCTTTTCTTGTGCTTTGATTTGGCACATGATGAGGGAGACATGTCAATTAAAAGGTGGGCGGGCCCTAAAGCTGTGACGCGAGTATAAATGACACAAATGAACATCGTGTTGTATCAATAAGATTCAAACCAAGTGCAGGAAGCCATGAACCAGCAAAGTGTTAAAGAAGCAGCACGGCCATGTTTTTTTATACAAACTTCTTTACGCAACCGGGGGAGTCGCCCCCTGCTGGTCATTAGAGAGAATGATGCTTTGAGGTCATCCAGCTTTTATACAAACAGAGCGGCCGTGCTTCCTACCCCGTCTAAGTAGATGTTGATGAATCCTTCTTCCACGTCCACGCGCTTCACTGAGCGGTCCTTCTGCAGCTAACACAGCATATCACAACAGTTAGTCTGTAGGACAAACACCATGTGGCAGGACTGGCAGGGCCTGCGGCGGGCCAACTGACCAGTGTGAGGGAGCTCTTATCCAGGACGTATCCAGACAGGAGCTTGATGTTGACGATGACCATGTTGGTCTCCTCTCTCCTCCCCTGGTACCTGCAAAAAGTCACAGTGCTGTGATCCTCATGTGCTCTCAGGCTGTCTCGGGGTTTAGATAATTATACCCAAGACACACATGCAGAGTACCTGACATGCACGAAAAGGATGAGCTGCGGCCTGCTGATGTTACACTTGGCCATGGTGTTAGCAGAGACGTTGAAGGCAGAGAAGTCTGCAGGAGGGGGGATGTTGTAAAACATGGAGATCTGCAGAGACACAGCAAAGTCAGGCTGTGGCGAGCGGCACGGCAGCACTAGCAGATCAGACGCTTCACGTCACGCATTAACACACTGCAAAGGAAGCTTTTACCAATCAGACGTCTTCAAATCTCGCTGGTAGTCCGACGGCGGCCCTCCTCCACCTGAGCCTGGATGTTTACCTTCATCCCAGTCTCCATCTGCTGCACCAGCCGCAGGTGGAGGCTTCAGTGGCGTTTCTTGCCTTTACTAAGGACCGTGGCTGTCGCGTCATCAACAACTAGTCGCTAAAATACTTTTAGAACAATAAATATTGTTCTTCCCATCTACCGATCACCTCACTGTGTTTTCTCCAATTTGAGCTCAGTGGACATGTACCAGTTCATACTGGGCTCCTCCTGCTTTACGTTTGGGAACACTGAACATGTACGAGTACATTGTTCAGGTGCAACACACACTAACAAAGGCCTGCTTTCACATATACTCCAGAGCTGTAGGTTATCTTATGTACTGTTGTAACCAGGAAAGTTTCAGAGACTTTGTCCACACTACAACACTCAGAAGGAACGCTTGGAGTCATTCGTCTGCCGTCATGCCAGGTCATGCCAGGTCATGCCAGGTCATGCCAGGTCATGCCAGGTCATGCCAGCACCATGAACAGTGTGTTTAGCTGGAAGCTGTCACAATGGTTCCAGCTGCTTGTCTCTGTTTAAAAAACTAAATACTTCTGTACTTGGTGTGCTGCACACGTATCTGTGTGGTACCTGTGTCAGTACGCAGTTCTGTCCCTCGGCTCTGATCGTGTACTCTCCTGGGACCTCGCTCAGCTTCTTCTCCTGGTACAGCAGCCTGTTGTCCTGATTCACGGTGAACTCTTTGTTCAAGCCTCCTAAAGAGGTCAGTGTCACTGTAGTGCCCACCTCTGAACTGTAGGTGGCAGCACCATACTTCGCCAAGGCTTGAAGGGCCACTACTGTGTCCTGGGGGCCACAGACGGATTAGAAATGTTGTTAGCACAGGTTCAGAGTTCACCCTCCTTTAAGGTTAAACGTGGTCTAACTGACCTGTGTGGAAGAGAAACCGCCAAAGGGGTTCTGCTGCTGAGTGAGCCAGCGCACAATGGCAGAAGAGTACTCCAAGTCAAAGCCTGGCATGGAGGGACCGGACAGCAGAGCCAGCAGCACGTAGGAGGTCATCTCCACCTCCAGAGAGTCCAGGCCCTTCCCAGAAGCCCCTGCTCTCTTCCAGTGACGGGTGCCTCCTGCCAGCCAGGACAAATAAAGGACCAAATAAAGGACACGTCTGCAGATATCCCAGTGTACGCACGCCATCTGTCACACGGCTCACACACACAAACAGACGACCACATTGGCACTCATCACCAATGAACCTAACCCCACGGTGCATTCGTTTTGGATCGGACATTTGTAAAGTCTGATTAGATGTGACAATGAACCAAAGAGGAACCTGTTAGGGTGAAGCTGGTTTCTGCAAGTTCCTGCTCCTATTTAAGACTTTCACGATTATGCAGATGACACCTAAATGTATCTACAAAAGCTCAGTCACACTGTCTCAAGAAACACAGCCTTTCCTCTCTAATACAAGGTTGGAGGTGTTAGTATTTTCTAGGGCTGCCACGATTAGTCGACTTATGACGATTGCGTCGACTATCAAAATCATCACGACTGATTTAATAGTCGACGCGTCGTTTGAAGCTTTGTAAGATCCCAAAGGACGCAGGAATAATAGCAGGATTTAAGAGTGTAATAACGGACTGAAACAGAAGATGGCAGCACTGCATGTACAAGGATGCCAGCTGCTGTTAAACCCCGAAGAAGAAGAAGCAGCTGTGTCCCAGAATTCATAGCGCAGCCCAGCTCAGTTTCCAACAATGGCGGCAGCTAGTTAG